TGATCTTTTCAGTGACCAAAATGAGAGAGGAGAAAGGCTGGCCGAGCGCAGGACCCGGCTGCAGATGGAATTATGCTTTCGTGGCTAATTCTTTACTGAACCGCCCTGCAGTTTGTCTTGAAAGTGTTTTATGGCGTTAACATTTTGTTTAGAAGGTTTTAAGTTTTATGAGATCAAAGCTGTCAGTCTCATTATATAGCCTCCGACTTTTATGTCTTGATTAGGAAAACCTCTTCACTTCACAACTATAACAGTATTCTGTGATCCCCCCCCCAGGTGAAAGCAGACCTAGTTAATGCATAATAAATGAATGTGGCTGTGCCCCAATAAAACTTCTTTACGGGCACTAAAATTTGAATTTCGTATAATTTTCACTTCATAAAATATTATTCTTGCTTTTTGACCCCCCCTTGTCCCAACTATTAAAATAGATGAAAGCCCATTTTAGTTGGCAGGTTACACAAAGCAGGCAGTGGGCCCTAGCCACCATTTGCCAATGAGAAGCGGAATTTCAAGTTATCAGCCTGCCACTCTATAAGTAGATAGAGCCAAAAAATAAAACCACTTTGTGATGTAGCACTTTTCTGATACCTAGGCTCAAAGCATCAAAATATAAGTTACAGCCTGAGGATAGGGTATGTTATTTATTGCCTAGGTTCAACCATCCCTTTTTTGATAGAACTTACACTTCAAGCCTCACTCCAAAGCAGACTGCTGCAGTTAACAAAATACTGCATTTAGTGAAAGCACCTTTCATCACCAGCAAGATGGGTAGGAATTCCATTCCATCATTCTTCAAACTAATTTCAGAGTTTGATCTTCAGTGAGTTCTTAGATGCAAAAGAGCCACCAGGGGTGACACAGGAAGTTTCCAGAGTCTGCAGCAAGTGCTCTGCTCCAAGGGGCATTAAGAATCTGCCTTGCCAATGAATTCAGACATTTGTTTCTTTGTTTATATTTTTTTTCCTGATATCTATAAAGGTGGTTTATGTAGAGCACATGTAAGAAAACAATCTGAAAAAGAGATAAAATCGCTTCTTAGAGACAGCCACATTTAATTATGCAGCCCAGTGTGATTATTTTCCTGTGTGGAACTCGATTGCTGCTATTAATTACACTCTATTGCCCCATTCCTTCAGCTACACACAGATACATGACAGGTTAATAAAGGGAAATCAAGTTACAGAAATAAGGGGGGCTGAGGCGGAGAGCTGTGGGCTCCTGGGGGTTTTGAGAGCACACAAGGATTCCAGGAAACAGGACAGGGCTTCTGGTGTGCAGAGAAGAAACGCTTGTGACCTTTCCTGCAAGAACTGGGAGGCTGGAACTGAACAGTCCGTGTAAAGACTGAGTGTCCTTCACTTCCAGGGAAGTTGAATCTGCTGTATAAATATTTTCCGAGCGTCTGAGGATCTGCTAAGTCTATTCAAAAGGGATTTTGGAGCTGGCTCAGTCCACGAAGTGTTTGCAGCACAAGCATGAAGACCTGAATTCGAATCCCTAGCACCTATGGAAAAGCTGGGCATGGTGGTACATGTCTGTAATGCCAGGGCGGAGACAGGTGGAGCCTAGTGGCCCTCCACAACACACACACACACACACACACACACACACACACACACACACAAAGGGATTACGAAAATCTTGACCCCAATGTTCCAAGGAAGTCACAAGATGCTTCCATCTACTTGGTGCTAGAGAGCAGTGAAAGAATTTCTACCAAAAAATCTCTACCCCAAGCAAGCTGCATACACAGGTAAGGGACCAGAATTCATGCAGTGTCTAAGGGTGGCCTGATGAAATCCAAGGTAATTAATAGCTGTTAAGTTCTGGTGTCTTAATGAGCTTGAAACTCTCAGAGTCATAGAAAAAGTAATTGAGGAGGGCTGGAAATGTAGCTCGGCAGCCAAATGCACTCTTGAGTACCCAAGGATCTGAGTGTATCCAGGGCATAAGAATTCAGGGACTAGAGAGATGGCTCAGCAATTAAGAAATCTTGCTGCTCTTGCAGAGGACTTGAGTCTGATTCCCAGCACCCATTGTTGGGTGGCTTACAACAACCTGTAACTCCAGCTCCAGGGGAGTCCAACACCTCTGGCCTCTGAAGGCACCAATGTTCACATGCACATACCCACACAGAGAGCTGCACACATACACATCATTAGATATAAATCTTTTAAAAAAGAATCCTTACTAAAAATTATAATACATGTGAATAATCTACCATGGGGAAAGTCAGTCAGTATTAAAAATCTGCAAATTAACCAGACATAGTGGCACACAGCTGTAATCCCAGCACTCAGAAGGCTGAAGCAAGAAGACTGTGAGTTCAAGGCCAGCCCGAGTTGTACAGAGAGATCCTGTCTCAAAAAAGAAACCAAAACCCCAAACCAAAGCCAAAACAAAAATCAAAGCAAAGTGGAAATCAGCACCCCAAGGACTAGAGATCATAATATAGAATTTCAAATTATTAAATGACTAGAAAATATAGTTTAAAAAAATATAAAACCTGGGAGGTGCTAGAGAGATGGCTCAGTGATTAAGAGCACTGGCTGCTCTTACAAAGGACCTGGGGATCCAGAGGATCTGATGCCCTCTTCTGACCTCCAAGGGCATTACACACAGAGGTGCACTTATATATATGCAGGCAATACACTCATGCACATAAATGTCTTTTAAAAAGCTGATGAGGCCAGGCGTGGTGGCACACGCCTTTAATCCCAGCACTCAGGAGGCAGAGGCAGGCAGATCTTTGTGAGTTCAAGGCCAGCCTGGTCTACATAGTGAGTTCCAGGACAGCTGGGGCTACAAGGAGACCCTGTCTCAAAAAAAAAAAGACCAAAGTGGGGAAAAAAAAAAGCTGATGAGAAGTGAATACATAAATTTGAAAGAAAAAAACCCAACCAATAGAACCAACAGAATTCAAATGCAAACTGTTCAAGTGCACGGAAAGCCAAACACTGGTGGACTAATTAAACAACAGATTAGTCAATCTAAAGAAAATGAGTAAAATGGAAACTAGATTTAATGAAGCATGCAAGAATCCAGTTCAGAGAGAAACAGAAATGGAAAATATGAAAGGGTGATTAATACATACAAAGATCTATGAAAGATAAAGAAAAGATTCACCATTCAGAAATATGAGGTTCAGGTGGGAAAAAAATCAAAATATAACAAGGAAAGAAGATTTATACCATGACTGAAAGTTTTCCAGAAATGAATGAAACTCAGGTCTTCTGATTATCCCCAGAAGGAAAAGGAGAAACATCCCATCTAGACCCCTGAAGTGAAGCCTGAGGGACCACTGAGCAGTGCTGGTAGAGATGAAAGATGCTGCAGTTGCTATGGGAAACAGGATGGTGAACCCTCAGGAAGTTACACACAGAATCATCACATGACCCAGAAATTCTGCTCCTCAAGCACTGTGGTTTTCATCTCTGTGATCACTACCTGAGAGAAGAAATTCCAAGGCGAAAAAGACTTACTTTGGCCCATGGCTTCAAAGGGATCAGCAGTGCACCACGACCAGGAAGGCATGGCAGAGTGTATGGAGGTGGGAGTGTGTGGTGGACGCTCCTTACAAGGTAGTAGGAAGCCGAGACCAGAGCAGGAAGTGGTCATGTGACGGTTATCTTTGCCCGTGATAACTGCCCTAGATACAACCACACCCAGTGTGGGGGCTGAAGAGATGGCTCAGTGGTTAAGAGCACTGACTACTCTTGCAGAGGACCCAGGTTCGATTCCCAGCACCCACATGGTGGCTACGAACTGTCCTTAACTCCAGTTCCAGGGGAATCGGAAGCCCTCTTCTGACCTTCGCTGCATTGCTCGACACAGGTACACTCATATACATGCAGGCAATACACTCATACACATAAAATAAAAATAAATAAATAAATAAAATATTAAAAAAACCAACACACCCAGTGTGTCTTTAACACATTTAAAATGCAAGATCATAAAGAAACTCAAAGGCTCTGTGAAGAAGTCAAGAAAGTCCAAGCATTCAGATAGTTTCTGCTGAGTTCAGTGAGCATCTGGTGTGTCTTCTTTGTTCTGTGATCAGTAATACTTTGTTTGCATCTGTGGAGTCTTGCTAAACTTCCTGCAACTTAGAGTTAAATGCCTTGATGGCACAGCTAAGGTTATGAGTTGAGTGTCCAGGCAGTATTCTGTCCTCTATGTGTGGTGTCTGGTCTTACACTGCCTGAAAGAATAAGAAACCATGAGTTTGGGCCAGGCATGGTGGCACATGCCTTTAGTCCCAGCACTTGGGAGGCAGAGGCAGACAGATCTCTAAGACATCAAGGGCAGCCTAGTTTACATAGTGAATTGCAGGCCAGTTGGGGCTACAGGGAAACCCTGTCTCAAAAAGACCAAAAATAAAACAAAACAAAAAAATAAGGTTGGAGAGTGACTGGGGAAGAAACCCATTATAACCAAAATGACCTGCACATGCACCTGCACACATACATACATATACACATATACATACACACACGAACATGTAGATACATACACACACAAAACCATGAGGTTTAGTTTGGTTTTGCCATGGCCTTTATTTTCAAATTCATGCACTAGAGAAATGTTAGAGCTGTTATTAATAAATGCTCAAAAAATTCATTGAGATCAGGATAAAATGCCAAGCTCATCTGAAGGTTATAATTCTTTTATGCCCCCAGCATCATCACTACCTATTTAATTGTGTATCTGGATAGAGTGACTTTTTTTTTGGGTCTTTTTGAGACAGGGTCTCCCTGTAGCTCCAGCTGGCCTGGAACTCACTATGTAGACCAGGCTGGCTTTGAACTCACAGAGATCTGCCTGCCTCTGCCTCCTGAGTGCTGGGAATAAAGGCGTGTGCCACAATGCCAGGCAGATACAATGACATTTAAAGGAAAAATGAAATATGTTTTTGGAAAATTTTTATTTGATGAATATTTTCAAATGTTTGACTTCTAAATATTTCTTCTTCTTTTCTCCCTTCTCTCTTCTAGGAAAGGCGCCGATGCCCAGACCCGGCTACAAACCTCAGGAGCCCAACGGCTGTAGTTCATATTTCCTGGGTATCAAGGTACCAGGAAGTGTGCGTACCATTGGTATTCTATTCTTGGTTGATGGGTTTTTAACGAACGGTAATCTAAGAGTCGTCACAGATGGAAACTATGGAACCAAATGGAACAATGTAACTGGGTGTTTTAAACTAGACTACGAGGGGAGAAAAATTTCGAAGAAGATATTTGAGTTCTTTCTCTCAGAGACAGCTGCCCCTCAGATAAGCCTCCAGTAGTCATGAGAACTTTGAAGTAGCCATTTCAAACAACAGCCAAAATTTAGGGCATCAAGACATAAAGATGATCTGATGGAGTTGACTTATTTAAATTAGCAAGTCACTCCAGCGATGGGCTGATTATTATACTGGTTGACTTTTGCAAGTAGCAGCTGCTTATTGAAAGCATCCAATTCACTGTGTTTGGACTGTTTCAGGGTAGAACTCTGCAATCACATACTGGCTACTTATTATGATTAGTTAGCACACCACTGACCCTTTCTCGAATGGCCAGCCACCCCTAGAAGCAAGCAATAAATTAACTTCTGTGAAGACTTCTTGGGAGGGTCTGGGAACATTGTTTAGCGGGTCGGGTGCTTGCCTAGTGTACACAAAGCCCTGAAAAATGAGCTAGAGTCACTTATGAAGCTGGTAGCAACATTAAAATTTAGCATCCTGAGTTGGAGAGATGGCTTAGTGGTTTAGGAGCACTTGCTGCTTTTGCAGAGGACCTGGGTTCAGTTCCCAGCATCCATGTCAGGGCGGCTCACAACCTTCTGTAACTCCAGCTCTCTGGGATCTGATGCCTCCTCTGGCCTCCACAGACATCTGCATGCATGAATAAATAATAAAGTTAATCTTTAAAACCTTAGCATCCTGTGACTCGAAGCTTCTTCAGAGTTTTTGGTGTTTCTAACTGATGTGACTATGTGACACATCTGAGAACCAGCTAGTTAATGGTGAGCTGGGCAGGGTTGCCTCAGGTCCTTGGTCAAACGTGGCACTTTCCTGCCTCCCTTTTACAGATGGACTTGGGCATTCCAGCAATGACCAAGTGCTGTAACCAGCTGGATGTGTGCTATGACACCTGTGGTGCCAACAAATACCGCTGCGATGCCAAATTCCGATGGTGCCTCCACTCCATCTGCTCTGACCTTAAGAGGAGCCTGGGCTTTGTCTCCAACGTGGAAGGTAGGTCTCTTAAGGACATTTCCTGTTGACAGGGAGATTTGCTCCTCCTTTCATGCAGAGAGGTAACTGGAGCTCCCCTTTACTAAGAGGGATGGTCAGAGCTCAGAGTCTCCTGGAAGGCTGTAAACCCTTGTGGAAAGGCAGAGGCAGAATCCAGGCACCACCTCATGAAACTTCTCCCTGTCCTGGCCATGGGTTGCTGGCAAACTTCCTGGTGGAAAGGACCACACCAGTGCCTTCCCAGAGAAATAAAAATCTGCCCTTTAAGATGGAGGAAGGGGCTGCCAGGGCTGTCCATGCCACTGCTAAATAATTTTCCATTCAGCAGTTGCTCTACATTTGACCTCTTGGTATAGCTGAAGCCCTTTTTTTATATTTTATTTTTTGTCTGGATAGGAACCTTTAAAAACCCCTTTTTTCTTGCGTATAAAGGTTTGTGCTTCAAGATAATTATTTTTAAACACTGCCTAGCTACTCAGCTTCCAGAATTGACTCTGTAATTTCTTTTTGCTAATTTACTTTAGAAAAGTTTTAATCTCTCTACTTTGAAACAGGAACACGATGGCCCGGTATTAGAATTTAGAAGTTTCAGATGGTAAGGATTGAAAATCAGGATTAGGAACAACTAAGAGAAAAGCTGTAGGTAGAATCTTGGATGTGGTTCATGGATCACTGTCTAGAAGAGAGTTTTAGAGTGAATATGTGAGGGCTTGTGAATATGAATAATGAAATGGGCCCTGTAGAAGGGAGAACGAGTCCATCCTCTGTCAAAACAAAGGGTCAAAAGAACTTGCTGCTAATCTAGGGTCAGGTTAAGTTACTTCCTCTAAGCCAATGTCCTATTGATTTTTTTTTTCTCCTAAATAACTCTTTGCTATTTCACTCACTGTGTTGCTGCAAATTATGTCTCTACTTTCCATCCGATTTATGTTCTCCATTGGGACCAGCTATATTTTTATACTACATGAATCTGATCGTTTCCACTCAATAGTTTTCTCCTTCAGGATTCAACACAAGCCCTTGGGTTTGACATGCACAGTCCTTTCTAAGCCGGCTCTAGGCTGCCTCCTCCAGTGGCATTTTGAATGTCTAGATTTCCCTTTGGACTCCTCTGATGGAAACTACCTGGGCTGATGGCCCAGACCTTTCCATCCTGACATTCCTTCTGCCTAGAACAATACCCCATCCTTCATTGTAGTGGTATTCAAGCCACTTGAGATGTCATTTATATCTAATTTTCTCATTCTCATTGAGTAGGTTGACAGAGTTGTGTGATTGACCCCATCTTCATCAGCCTTGACACATTCATCATCCCCCAAAGAAACCCCACAGCCATTCATCTCAAATGCCCCCTGCTTGGTCCAAGACAACAATGGCTCTACTTTCTACCTCTAGATTAGCCTGGTCTGGACATTTCATTTAAGTGGAATCACAGAACATGTGGTTTTCTATGGCTGATTTCTTTCACTTATCTATGCTGCTGACTGTTCCAAGAGTTCATTTCTTTTTATTGCTAAATAATATGCCCATTGTATGGCTTAACATAGCTTCTTTTTATAATTTTTTTTTTTGGTCTTTTTGAGACAGGGTCTCTCTGTAGCCCCAGCTGTCCTGGAACTCACTATGTAGACCAGGCTGGCCTTGAACTCACAGAGATCCGCCTGCTTCTGCCTCCCAAGTGCTGGGATTAAAGGTGTGCACCACCACGCCCCGCCTTTTTATAATTTTTTAAGACAATATTTTAGGTCATTTATTTAAGACTTCCTTTCACAAGTTTCACTCCTTTAGTCCCAGCACTCAGGAGGCAGAGGCAGGCAGATCTCTGTGAGTTCAAGGCCAGCATGGTCTACATAGCGAGTTCTAGGCCAGCTGGGGCTACATGGAGACTCTATCTCAAAAGACCCCCCTCAAAAAAAAAAAATAAAGACTTCCTTTTCTTTCTTCCTTTTCATGTGCTGGAGACACAAGGAACAAGATGTTCACTCTGGTTTTGAGCAACAGTCCAACCAGTATAACTGAAAGAGCATGCAATTACAAAATGAGCCAAGTGTCGTGGGAATGGTAATAAAATAATGAGCAATGGTGTTTGAGGCCTTGGACAGAGCTCAGACCACCTTACTCTTTGGTTATAATAGCCCAAAATTATTTATTTATATTTATTTATTTTTTATTTGTTTATTTTGGTCTTTTTGAGACAGGGTCTCCCTGTAGCCCTAGCTGGTCTGGCACTTTTGATATAGACCAGGCTGGCCTTGATCTCTCAGAGATCCACCTCCTTCTGCCTTCCAAGGGCCGAGATTAAAGGAGTGAGCCACCACACCTGCCTAACACTTTCTTGATGTTATTTGAGGCCTAGAAGTCTAAAATTTTGATTCATTTCAATTTCTTTATTTTTGTCAGTGGTATTTTCAGTGTCAGATGTGGTAATAAGCCTTTGCCTACACAAGGTTAAAAATATTTACTTACAAAGTGATGGGGAGATGTGGGAGGAGTTGGAGGGGAGGGAGTGGGCGTGGATTTGATCAAAACACCTTATATGTATGCATGAAATTCCCAATATTTAAAAAATATATTTTATTTATTATTTTTTATGTGTATGAGTGTATTGCCCAAGTGTATGTGAGTGCGCTGTGTCGTGCGATGCCGCGGAGGCTAAAAAAATATTTACTTCTGTTTTCCTCTAAGCTCTGGGTTTAGGTTTGTGAACTAGTTTGAGTATTATTTTTACAGGGTATAAAAAGGGGCCCAACTTCATTTTCTATGTGGAAACCCAGTTATTTAACACTGTTGTTTATTATCTTTTGTCAAAACTCAACTGACCTTAAGTATAAGTACTGATTTCTTGACTTTTTTTTTTTTGGTCTTTTTGAGTGATTTCTTGATTTTCAGTTCTATTCTGCTCCAGTGATCTATGCCAGCACCACACTGCCTTTATCACTGTACTTTTGTGGTACATTTGGAAATTAAGGAGTATCCTTAAATCTTGGTGTCAAGATCATGTTGGCTATTGGTGAGTCTGGCATTTCTATAGGATTTTCGGATCAGCTTGTTAATTTTTGCAAGCAACGACAGCTGTTATCTTCACAGGGCTTCAATCTATGGAATGGTTCGAGGAGTATTGCCACATTAATAAGATTATGTTCTCTGACCCAAGAACATGAAGATCTTTCCATTTATTTCCGCCTCCCTTCATTCCTTTCCACAGTGTGTTCTCATTCTCATGACACAAGCCTTTCACTTTTTTTGGTAATTTTTTTTTCTCTGAACTACTGTAAATGGAACTGTTTTCTAATTTTCTTTTCAATCTTAATTTTAGTTTTGTATGTGTGGGTGACATGTTTTGTCACTGTGTACACGTGCTGGTCAAAGGACAACTTTCTGGAGTTGGTTCCTTCCACCTCTTTTTGTATTTAATTTTGAGAGTCTGGCTATGTAGTGCCTGGTTGGCCTAGGACTCACTATGTAGACCAAGCTGGCCTCAAATTCATAGAGGTGCACCTGGGTCTACCTCCCAAGTGCTGGGATCAAAGGTGCATGCCACCGTGCACAGCCCCTCCCATCCTTTTGAGGCAGGGGTGTCATTTCTGCTATGCTGTGTGCACCCTACGTTAGCTGCCCTGTGAACGTCCAGGTGATTCTCTTGTCTCTGCCTCCCATCTTATAGAAGTGCTGGGAGTACAGACGTGTGCTGCCACATCCAGGTTTTTTATGTGGGTTCCATCGATCAAATTCATGTTGGCAGGCTTATGTAGAAAGCACTTTTACCTGCTGACCCCCTGCCAAGCCATCTCTGTGGTCCTCTCAATTTTCTTGACAAATGATTTATTGATGCTGTACAGAAAGATGGCTGATTTTTGCCCATTGATTTATTCTGAGACCTGGCTGAATCCATGTAATAGTTCTGATAGATTTTTCAGTGGATTCTTTAGTGTTTTTTTAACTTAAAAATACTTTATTTATTATTTTTATGTGTATGAATGTTTTCCCTGCATGTATGTAAGTTTACCCATGCCATCCAATGCTTGAGGAGGTCAGATGAGGGTGTTGGATCCCCTGTAACTGGAATTACAGAAAGTTGTTAGCCACTATGTGGGTGCTGGGAATCAAATCTGAGTCCTCTGCAAGAACAGCCAGTGCCCTTAACTGCTCAGTCATCTCGCCAGCCCTGAATTCTTTTTTACATAAGATGTCACCTGCATATCATTTTCCTTTCTAATTTGAATGCATTTTCTTTGTCTGCTTAATTTCCCTGGCTAGAACTTTCTTCAAATTTTTTTAACGATTTTTTAAATTTCATGTGTATGAGTGTTTGCCTACATGTATATATGTGAGCCACATGCATGCCTGGGGCCTGCAGTGGCCAGAAGAGGGCATTAGATCCCCTGGAAGTGAAGTTACAGATGGTTGTTAGCCACCATGTGGGTGCTGGGAATCAAACCCAGGTCCTCTGCAAGAGCAGCCAGTGCTCTTTACTGCTGAGCCATCTCTCCAGCCCCTAGAACTTCAATACTGCATTGAATGGAAATGTTAAGAGTGCACTTTCTTATTTTCTTATCTTCTTTCCAACTATATGGAAGAGGCTGTTTATGACTAAGCATGGTTTCTGGCTGGGTTTTTTTCTAAGTGATCTCTGTCAGATTGTGGACACTCTCCTTTTGGTTTGTTGAATGCTTCTATCATGAAAAGGTGTTGGATTTTTTTTTAATGTCTTTCTGCAGAATGTGGCATTTATCTTTTATTCTGTTGCTAGGTGGTATACTATATTGATTTTAGTATGTTAAACCAACTTGCATTCTTTTTTGTTTTTTTTTTTTGAGACAAGGTCTCCCTGTAACCCCTGGCCTGGAACTCACTATGTAGACTAGGCTGGCCTTATACTCACAGAGATCCACTTGCCTCTGCCTCCCCAGTGCTGGGATTAAAGGCGTGCGCCACCTTACCTGGTTAGTAATTGTATTTTTATGCATCAAAAATCTATTTGCATTTTCCATTTCTACTTGAGTCAATTTCAGCAGAAATTTTTCCATTTCCTCTAAGCTGTCTAAATTTTTTGGCATGCAATTGTTCATAGTATCCCTTCAGGCTAGTAAACCCAGTATATTCCTCTGGGATGCCCTCTCTTAGAACTCTTACTCCGAAGGGACGGTTCTCTTTCTGTGGGTTCCCACTCTGTCTTGGGGTCACTGTCATCATGATGTTGACACTTGTCACTCTGTCCAAACTGTGAGGTCCTCAAATTGTCTTTGTCCTCTGGTACCTACAAAAGTGCCTCATCCACATATTTCCATACACCCCACACTTGAGCAGGGTAAGCTATGGGTAACATAGACAGTAATGCTGTCTGAGTGTTCTAAAAACAGTGCACATAATGGAGTTCTGATTACTTTTTCCAGGGGTCCCACAAAAGTCCTGCATCACAGAGTGTATCTACTTTATTGGACTAGACAGGAGCTTTTAGAAAAGCTTCTCTTAAATGTATGCTTGTCTTTTTAATTCTGTACTCAGATAATTCTGACTCCACTGTCCTTTGGGGATCATCCTGGAAGCATGCTGCCTCTTTACAGGCATGCTATTGGGATATTCCTCTGTGTTAACCTCTTTGTTTCTCTTCATCTTTTTCAAGTAGCCTGTGATTCTCTGGCTGATACTGTCTTCAATACTGTGTGGACCCTGGGCTGCCGACCTTTTATGAACAGTCAACGGGCAGCTTGCATCTGTGCAGAAGAGGAGAAAGAAGAGTTATGAGGGCGATCATTCCTGGCTTTGAATGACACCACGGCTCAGTTTCAGAGACTGTGGGGGTGACAGATGTGTTATCCTTTCTTCCAACACTTTGGAGGCCACAAAGTAGGAGAAAGGAGACAGTGAGTCTAGCCTTTAAGGAAAGTTGAGAAAAAGACATGGAGAGATCAAAGACTTCTTTTCTCTTTAACACACAGCTCTCCAACCAAGAAACATTTGCCTGGAAATTCAGTTCCTAAAGACTGCTACAAGCAAGTTCTTAGATCCCATCATGGTAGTCATGAGAGAAATCTGGGGGAGTCCAACCATTTCAGAGACAATGACTTTCTTCCGGCTTGTGTTTCAGTTGCCAGTTAGCACCCCACATTTAATAAAGTGTACTTTTTAGAAAAATTGAAAGGAGATGAATGAATTCCATTATCATCTATATTTCCATTTCACGTAGATGAGAACAGAGTGCAACCTGGTAAGTTCTATTGGTGACGATTCCTGTTGGTGCTCAAGAGACAAACACAGCAGAAGGGCAGAGGGTTATCTGAGGAAGGTGGGAGGGAGTGGGCTCGGAGGCTCCATTTCTCCCTCCAGTGGCCTGCTCCTGTTGGTCATCCCCGACTCCAAGCAATACAAAGGTCGTGAGAAGATTGGAGATGCACTTAGTTAGGGCCAGGGAAGGAAGGGATGGTCCAGGGTCCCTAAATTGTGACCCTTAGCACTGTGTGGATTAGGAACACCTGTGAAGCCTTCATCTCGAACCATTAAGGATCTCTGGGGCTGTGCCTAGGCTATTTTTAATAGTCTCTCGGTGATTGATTCTGTTGTCCTGGAAAGGCCACCAACTAGTGCAGGGACTGGCTGACAAATTCGGTCCAAAGCCTGTTTGTCGGTACAGCCTTTCAGAACGCTACCACATTTGTTTTGCTTTTATGTTTGTGCTGCAGTTGTTTGCAGCTGCTCTTGCCCTAAAACATCAAGTTATGACACAGACCGAGTGGCCCCAAAGTCTAAAATCGATATCTTTTGGCCTTCGAAAGAAAAACACTGCTGACCTCTGACCTAAATCATTCACTCCTTCTCCTCTTTTTGTTAACTTCATTAAATTGCATTAAGAATTGTCAGTTGCCGGGTGTGGTGGCGCACGCCTGTAGTCCCAGCACTTGGGAGGCAGGCGGATCTCTGGGAGTTCAAGGCCAGCCTGGTCTACATAGTGAGTTCCAGGACAGCTGGGGCCACAGGGAGACCCTGTCTCAAAAAGACCAAAAAAAAAGATTATAAGTCTTAAAAAAAAAAAGAATTGTCAATTGTTCCACACAGCAGTTAAGAGAAAAAAAGAATTGTTCATTGTAACCACTTTTAAAAAGAAAAGCTTTTTTTTTTTTCTTACTGATCATATATAAAGCCATAACATTAATTGTTAGAAGAAGAAGCTGAATTCAACTGCAGATAACATTTATCTTTGTGGTTTATGATATTTATTTCAATAAAATGTATTCAGCACCTGCAAAATAAGAATATGGTATGTCTTATTATCTTACCTTGTCAGGGGCACAGAAACCGAATGCACAGGGCAATGGGGCCACAATTTAATTTTGTTTATATTCAGTCATTGAACCACTTATATGCGTGCCACTGAAGTTATTTTTAGGTGAAAACATTTCATTTAAAGCATACATACATAAAGTATTATGTAACAGTTAACCAAATATATTTTCGTGTACATTATTTTATTGATAAACTTTCAAATCTCCTATAAGTATTCTGTGTCAGAGTTTAGGAATCCCCTGCAGAGGCCAGAAGAGGATGTCAGATCCCCTGGAATTGGGTTACAGATGGTTGTTAGCCACCATGTGAGTGCTGAGAACCAAACCCAGGTCCTCTGCAAGAGCAGCCAGTGCTCTTAACTGCCCAGCCATTTCTCTACCCTCTGTTTGTTTAGGTCTTTTAACTTGGAATCTTATACCCAGCTTCTCATTTCAGTGTCCTATTGCATCATAAATGAGGTATTTCATTGTAGGAAAGACATGGAGATGAGGCAAGCTTCCTTCTGTGTGGACAGCTTAGCTCTCCACATGGGGAAGCCGAGGTCCATGTGGCCATGTGGGCCAGCAGTGCTGTGACCTGTACCAACCCAGGGACCAGAACCAGTGAGTCATTTCCAGGTATCTAAACTCACAGAATGTGGTTCAAAGATGTCAGGTGTTCTAGGAACTTCTTTGATGTTCTTAGAGGAGACAGGGAGAAGCCCCAGAAAGGAGACAGGAAGCAGGGACTAGTCCTCCCAGTCGATGCTGATGGGGCCGCCTGTCAGGGTCTGACTCTGCAGACTGGCAGAGTCCTCTTCTTCCCCTACCTCACGACGCACTCGCCGGTGGCACCCTTGGGCACAGCGGGAACGCTCATCCAGCACCCCACAGACAAGGACCCGGCAGTGCAGAAACACTTCCTGCAAAGATGGTAACGATGGTAAAAATGTGGTAGCAGCTGGCACCGCAGACAACGCTGAGAACCGGACACAGGGCTGCATTTTCACAAACACCATCTCAGTCACGACAGCCACACTTTGAAGTGGGTGTCAACATCCTGGTTTTACAGATGACGAAACTGAGACTTAAGATAAGGAACTTGCCCAGTCCACACATTTAATAACGAAGCCAAGTTGGAATGGTTAGACTTCTGCATGGGCTGGGACAGAAGAGAGCCCTGGGAAAGAATGTCTCCTGACATCCTCTGGGGCTGGAGGAACATTTTCTAAGCACTTCAGCTGTCAAATAACAAGTCCTTTCTGCGAGGCTCTTCCTAGGCACCATTAGCTGTGTGAGCGACAGGTGGAAGGACATGAACATGCTCAAAGGCAACATGGAAAGGAGTGTTGGCCTTTCACGCTCAACCGTGTCACCTACAGCCTTTCAGTTTAGCCTCTTAGAACCTCAAGCTTCATGTGCACATGAGTTATTAGGACGTTTACTCATGTTTCTAACATTGATAACTGCTTAATATTGCATTAAACTGATAGCGTGCAGCCCCTTAGTTCTGTTTATGGGGGGGGGCTCCCTTTGTCCTCCTAATGCTCTACAAACATGTGCAACTTTTTCTGTTTTGTGAAATTTCCAGAATTGTAATTTTCAATAAAAGAATATGACGATTATAGCAGGGCGTGGTGGTGCATGCCTGTAGTCCCAGCACTCAGGAGGCAGAGGCAGGCGGATCTCTGTGAATTCAAGGCCAGCCTGGTCTACATAGTGAGTTCCAGGACAGCTGGGGCTACAGGGAGACCCTGTCTCAAAAAGACCAAAAAAAAAAAAAAAAAAAGAATATGATGATTTAATGATCTTTACGTACTATCAGATAACTTACCTGAAAAAGCTTGCAATGTGTACAGTTGCTGTCCACTTCCTGTAGCCTCGCAAGCTTTGTGATGTACACTTCTAATACTTAAGATGTATAAAGTTATATACTATGGTTGGCGTTGTGAGGCCTAGTCACTTCCTGTTCCACGGCTCATCTTTGAGTTTTCTGTTTAAATCTTGAGCTGACCTGACTGCCACGCTGGCTTTTTCGCCCTTATCTGCCCATAAATATTTCAAATCCTGATCCTACATATTCTCTATGAGCAAAGACAGTATTTTATGGGGTAAGGGAGGTAACTGTGACACGTTGAGCTTCTTGGTGGCTTACTATATTTCTCTTAGAGTCATGTGGAGTCTAATTATGGGTTCTTAGGACGTTCAAACACCAGGGCAACACGAACGAAGGCTCAGGCCTGGGGTTATGAAGCGTTCAGCTCACCTTGTGATCTTTGCCCACAAACTTGAAGACAGGGACCTGGAAGTGCTTTGCTAGGTGATCCCTGGATGAGTACTGCTTCACTGAGTCATCAGAAACACAGCTGAAAGGAAGTAGGACAGATAATATGTCAGATGCTGATCATTTCCACAAAGGTGGAAAAACAATCCTGTCCACGACGTTAGGCGGTGTGTGCTCGGCTACACTCCAGACTTGGGAGAATGAAGGAAAATGGTATCCTCCCTACAGAGGCATTCTCAGACCTCACCAAGTAGGGCTAAGCATGTCTGCCCCATCCTTCATTCATGGAACCCTCAACTGGGCACAGTACTTCCTGCTAGGTTAAGGGGTCTAAGTATTAGCAGCATCAACACGTGTTTCAAGTAGATCTTCGGCTGGCAAGGCTGTCTGTTCATTGGTGATACATTGCAGGAATCTGGCTTAATCTAGTTATTATTGGCTTGAGGAAAGTTTTCTTAAATTTAACACTTATTTCCTGGACATCTAATAGACACAAAGCACTGGAGGGAAAACAAAGAGGAACAAACCATTTGTACAAACACAGCTAAGTTTTTCAGGTGATAGCTGCTTCTTCAGGCACATTTGCCTCAAATGCTTTCATTCCTCTTCTCCCAAATGTAACAGTAAGCTGCAGTTTTACAGAGTTAGGTCTGCTGCTTAAAGTGTAGCCATGAGTTTCTCCTCAGGGTAAACTGGGGAAAACATGCATTAACTGATGCTCCTTGGTAAGGCCATGGTTCTAGGTAAGAATGAACATTTTCTCCTGAAAGGATTGTCTGTGCTATCTGTCCCATTCTAAAGGTGTGTGTGTGTGTGTGTGTGTGTGTGTGTGTGTGTGTGTACTCAGGTGTATGCATGTGTGTGCGCTTGTGCCATGACAGTCCTGTGGAGATTAGAGGACAACCTTGGGTGTTGGTCCCTGCTCCCCACACTGTCTGAGCCAGGGTCTCTTTTGTTCTCTGCTGTTGGCCTTAGAGTTTCAGGAATTCACTGTCTCTGCTTCCCATTTCCCCACAGGAGTGCTGGGGTTATAGATGTGCACATGACCTCCCCTGGCTTTACATGGATTCTGGGGATTCGAACACAGGTCCTTATGCTTTCCTAGCAAGTGCCTTACCCACTCAGTCACCTCCCCAGCCTCCACTGTAGAGCTTAAAGTAACTTCCTTTTGTCTTGGATTTTTCTTGTGTCTTCTTAATCCATTTTCATATCTAAAAGCCTCTAAAGTGGAATTCTTGCTCCACATGCTTATGGGTCACTTTCTAGTTCACTGCTAACCACTGTTTTGATGCCATTGAAAAAGCCAATGAAGTTATTTCAAAAGAAGGCATCTCAATCTGTATTATTACTGGTCCCTAATTCCACCAAACTGGAGAGGATCCAACTGATGTGATTTCTGCTATTTCTATGTTTATTTACTCATTTTTTTTTCCTGAGATAAAATTAATTTATATATCTTCCAATTACATTTTATAGTAAGATCACTTGCACACCCATATGAATATTTTACATTGGTGGACTAGATTTGAATTATTAGTATAAACACTTAGTAGTAATTGCTTGGCAAATAGCTAATGGCACCACTCTCTCCTAGATGTTGAGGAAGATGGAAAGACAGGAGGGCTTCTAGTTCACTGTGGGATGGAAATAGGGAAGCCTTGTAGAGGAAGTAAACCTTGCTGAATCTTTGAAGAATCAGACCATTAAAAAATGTAAGGAATGGGGACTGGAGTGATGGCTCAGCAGTTAAGAGCACTGGCTGCTCTTGCAGGACCTTTGTTTGGTTTCCAGCACCTACATGGTGGCTAACAACCATCTGTAACTTCAGTTCCAGGGGATCTGATGCTCTCCTCTGGCCTCTGCAGGCACTGCACAACATGACTGCACTTACATACATGGAGGCAAAACACTCATTACATAAAATAAAAATAAGATAAAATTTAAAAAATGTAAGTAAGATTTCAGGCAGAGAAAATGGTACATGCTTCACCAAGAGGCTGTAAGAAGCAGAAACTGGAGGAAACTAAGGTCCAAGGTGAGGCCAGAGACTCATTTCCCTTACACCGCTCTTGTCTGGTGCCTTGTTGAGTTTTGTTCACCTGATTACAGACTACCATGGTTTTCCAGTTTTTGCCTATGCTTTCTCCTTTTATGGAAAATACATATATATATATATATATATTTCTCTTTTGTATATACTATTATCTACATATTACATGGTAATTAAAAGTACCAGATTGGTATAATTAATCTTTTTGTGTGTTTAATAGCCATAATTTTAGGCCTATACTAATCTGGTTAGAGGGACTTAAAGGGACAATTTTTGTTCCTTGCCTTCCAAGGTCAACTACATCCCAGGGGACGATATCTAAAACTAAAAGTAATAGTCCTGTACTCAGAGTCTGAATAAAAAATATATAAGCAAATTTCACAAGCATTATTGAGATTGTAGGGTTACTCATTCCAGCAAATGAGTTATGATTACACACACACACACACACACACACACACACACACACACACACATATATATATATATATTTAAAGTAAAGATTAGGGCTAGGGATGTAGCTTAGTTGGTAGAGTGCTTGCCTAGCATGCAGGAAACACTGGGTTTGATCTCCAGCATGGCATAAAACTGGGCATGGTGATACCTACCGATAATCCCAGCACTTGTGGAGATGGAGGCAAGAGGATCAGGAGTTCAAGGTCATCCCCAGCTGCATAAGGAGTCTGAGGCCAGCCTGGGATATATGAAACTGTTTCTAAAAACAAAACCACCAACCAACCAACCAACCAACCAACCAGCCAACCAACCAACCAACCAAGCAACCAACAAAAACAAATAGGAGGAGCAGGAGAAAATACTGAGGATGAAAGAAATGTTTTTTCCTTCCTTGCTTCCTCCCTCCCTCCCTCCTCTCTCCCTCCCTCCCTTCCTTTTGTTGTTTCTGATAGATAAAAGGTAGCCATATGACAAATAGGATTGATCAATAGAAAGCAGAGTTTATTAGCAAAGGAACAATGGGACAGATTCCCTTCTGGGCAGGGAAAATGTCTGCCCAGGTCATGAGCTGGGGTCTTTTAAAAAGGGAGGCTTCTGTTTCCTGCAGAAGGTGGGAAGATATATTTTTTTTAAAGTTGGGGGGGTGGAGTGGGGGGGTAGGACTGTTAAAACCTGTTCTCTTTGGAGATCAAAGTGGAAGCCTGCTGTGTTGGCCAAACAATGGAGAAAAGTTCTGCTTCTCTTGACTGCAAAGACCAAGGTGCTTATCAGCTTGGTTCCCTTTTCTCAGGAGCATGAGAAGTCCTTGAGATCCTATTGGTGAGGGGGCAGGGCTATCTGAACCTTAACAGTTTCTTGAGACATGGTCTCCCTGCAGCCCCAACTGGCCTGGAACTTGCTCTGTAGACCAGGGTGGCCTCAATCTCACAGAGATCCACCTGCCTCTACCTCATGAGTGCTGGCATTAAAGGCATGTGTGCACCACCACACCCAGAATGTTCTCTTGATGACACTGATGGTTTCATAATATATATGACAGAACTTACAAGCTGTACACCTTAAGTATGTCTGTTTATTAACGTGAAGTATACTCCACTAAAGGAGGAAAGGAAAACTAAATGAAAAGGAACAAAAATCATATCCCTCAAAAGAAAATCTTTTCCCTAATCAACATTAAGTGTGTGATGTGGAGGCACGACAATTTAAAAATGATCATTTCCATTTCAATACTTTCTGAGGATCACTTCTGGATGGCAGGTCCCTTGCATTACAGAACCTTCTACTGTCATTCAAAGCTGCCTGTAAATTCCAATCCAAGGGTCTTTAGGTGATACCACAGAAATCTATATATTTCCTCTAGAATCTACCAAGAATTTCTTCTCTTTCTATCACTACCAAGTTTATTTTTTATTTTTGTATGTATGCATATGTTTGTTTGGGTGTATGCATGTGTGCCTGTGTGTGGAGGACAGAGGTCAACATGAGAGATCTTCTTCAATCACTTTCCACCTTATAATTTATTTTCTTGTTTATTTATTTATTTTTTGGTCTTCTTGAGACAGGGTCTCCCTGTAACCCTAGATGGCCTGGAACTCACTATGTAGACTAGGCTGGCCTTGAACTCACAGAGCTCCACCTGCCTTTGCATTAAAGGTGGGTGCCACCATGCCTGACTCAAATTTCTTATAGAAGAGCAGGCTGAACAGGCTAACAGAGCCTACAGTTCTAACCACATATGGGTAATTCCCTGCTTTGGGTCCTCACCTTGTTCCTGAGCATGACAGGCATTCCTAATGGTCCACTACATTTCTTCCTAGATATTTCAAGTGTAAATCTGCTAGATATCTCTACCTAGATAGAGATCTGCTAGATATCTCTACCTACCTACTGTGGAACCCTCCTCCTTGGCCCCCTCCCCTGGACTCCCTAGACCCCTGCCCCTATTTGGGACTAACTGCTCTTTTCGCTTCTATAAATCGCTTGGCTTGAGGGAACCAGAGGGACAAACTGCACCGTCTCCATTTTGACTGCTGATTCCTCCTGCTGATTCCTCCATTTTTGTGATGCCTCATGGACATAGACTAGGCAAGCCCAGGCATGTCCAGGGGGCCCACGCAGGTTTGAGGCCTTATAAGGAATAAACAGGGTCCTCTAGCCCTGAAGATAACAGCACATTCCACAGCCCTGAGGGCAGCACCCACCAATGAGAGGCCTCCAAGACTGTAACCAATCAATTCAAAAGTATGTTGGGGGTGCAGGCTCTTTGGACCAATCAAAATATGACTGTCATTCCCCTCCTCCCTTTGTCTGAAACCTATGAAAAGCTCCCTCCCCCTGTTATTGGGGCTCTCAGACGAACCTACCACGTTAGTTTGGTCTGAGAGTCCGGGCTTAAGCCCGAATAAAGACTCTTTGTTCTTGCATGCTCTCTGGACTCCGTGGAAATTCTTGGGGATCTGTTCTCTGGGCACACCTACCTATCTTTCTATCTATCTATCTATCTATCTATCTATCTATCTATCATCTATCTATCTACCTATCTATCTGGCTATCTAGCTATCTTCTATCGCTCATCTATCTATCTATCTATCTATCTATCTATCTACCTATCTATCTGGCTATCTAGCTATCTTCTATCTCTCATCTATCTATCTATCTATCTATCTATCTATCTATCTAATCAATCATCTATCTATCTATCTATCATCTATCTATCATCAATCATCTACCTTTCAATCCTATCATCTATCATCTATTATCTCTATCATCTATCATCTATCTATCAATCAATCAATCAATCAATCATCTATCTGATCTTATCTTTATGTCTTTTCATCTTGGCTAATAGCATCTGGAGTCACTGCTGGCTAGCCTTCTCTAATCTGCCGCAAGTTAATGAATGCCTCCTGAGCTTGTAGAGTCCCTGGCCCCAGCCACATAGGAATGACTGCGCATGTCCGGAAGCTCAGCCGGCGCATGCGCCCTCGCTAAGAACCCAGCCCGGTGCCATCTTTACCCATCCTGGATCAGGTAGTACTTGAGGATCTCGTCGATCTTGGCGGTGGGCGTGGCGAAGCAGCTCTCAACCAGGCTCTCCAGGCCGCTCACGTGCACCAGGGGCTCGATGCCGAAGTAGAGGGAGTCGCGCAGCTTGAGCGTGGGCAGCGCCTCCCGGTACGGCTCTTCGAAGCCGTGGTCCTTGAAGATCTCCAGCGTGAAGGGAAAGACGCCGTGGTTGCGGCCCTGGAGCTCCAGCGGGGCGCTGCGCAGGTTGGGCACGTAGCCTTCGGAGATGGTGTAGAGGCGCGGGAACTCGCAGGTCACCGGGATCAGCAGCTCGCTGGTCCGAACGATGATGTCCCCGCTGCTCCCGGGCGTCTGCTTGGGCAGCCCTGTCACCAGGTTGCTGGCCACGATTTTGTCATTCACCACCTGTGCCGGGGCGAACAGAGACTGTGATTCCGTTTCTCGTTTCCCCTTAACTTTCTCCAGAGAACTGATACACCAAAACGCATTGCAGATTTATGTTCTCAGCGTGTGTGTGTGTGCGTGTGTGTGCTTTGAAATGGGAGTGGGGGGGGTGTCTTTCTGCTGAGCCCAGGCTGGCCCTTAAGTGATTCTACTCAAGCCTCCCGAGTAGCACCGAAGCTCTTTTTCTGTTTTCGTTGGGTTGCATGACACCCAGACTGCCAAGACTTTGCAGCTACTTCCTGGTCAGCCCGTGCATTCCTTTGGAACATTACTCATAAAACCTGATGTAGGAAAAATCAGCAAATCCTAAGCTCTGGCATTTAGAAGACGACAGCACCGTATGTTATTTCTTCAGGAATTCCAGACCTGGGGATGTTGCAACAGCAAAACGGAACCGGGGCTCACATCAGTGCAAAAGATTGTCAACCTGGCCTGGAGATAAAGAGTGCTACCAGCCAATTATGGGGCACACCCATTGGGTTATCCACAGAAACAGTCCACGCAGCTTGCCTGAAGGAGAAACCGCTTGTTTCTTGATAGCTACCCGGTGTCTCACCCCAAGTAATTAGCCCTCTGGTTCACTTAGTAGGATTCATAAATAAATACCTGATTCAGACAAATGATCACCAAGGCCTCGGCACTGACCTATATCCAGCCCTGTGCTCCATCCATCTTGCACACTGGGATCATAGTTTCCTGCTGAACCACATGCCTGCAGGCTCAAACCTGGGATCTCTCCCTAGCAGACAAGGTCGGGGGGCTTTGCAAACATTCTCTACCCTCTTTCCAGTTTCGCTTTCCTGGTGAGGCCAGGCAGGCTGCACAGACCTCAGTGCAAACCTGGAGGTCTCAGATGCTGCTGTTACCCATCAAAAATGTGCTTTTCCTCTTGTGGTACTCCATGCAAGTCCCACTCTTCTTCCCTCTGGTGGACTCCTAGAGGCCCTGTCACATGTCTCAGCCCATCCCTCATTTACATTTTAGGTATTGTCAACTGTGCTTCCTAACAGGCAGGAATCTTATTCCATAGTCCCTCTGAGTCTTCAGCATAGGGCCCTGAGCAGATTTTGGAGGAAAAAAAAAAAAAAAAAAAAAAAAA